CATCCTATGTTTCTATAATTAATGCTTAGTGAACAATTTAATACAAGATTTCATGACTTATATTTTAGCTTTCGCTAACTGTGGTCTGTAATTTATATTTTACCATAGGAATTTCAGATACATCCTTTATGAAACATGGACAAATTCTCTATTTAAGTAGAAGTACTGATAGCTACCAGTAGAAGCAAAAATGAAATAACAGCATTGTGAACTGTGAATTTGAACAACAGCAAACAGGGTGAAGGTGAACAACCCTAAACAATTAGCAGGATCATCTTAGTTTGCTCTTTTTCTGGGAAGAAAAATATTTTACTCTGTTAAGGTAAGAAATTAATATGTGAGATAAAGTGGTACATCAATACAGTTCCATCACTTGTCTCTTTCTGCTGGGCTGTAGTTCTGATTCACCTGCTGAGGATTACCAAGCTTAGTACCTCAGGTAGCCAATGAAATATTGCCTGAGCATCTAGGCCAAATTAGGTTTTCAAGCTCTGGCAGCATCCACTGTCCTATGGTGTTTACACCAGCTGACATCTGTCCCAAAGCCATATTTTCTGAAAGAATCTGAATTATTTCTACTTTTAGGTTCCTAATCAGTACATATCAGAAGCTGCCCTGCAGCTGCTACTTCCTTCTCTCTTTGCCTTATTCCCATAAAAAGCTGTTTGAAGGAAAGAACATTGAGCTGTCTATGAAGTAGTGCAAACTGATGTGGTGGTTTGGCTACAGCGTGGTCTGAGCCAAACTTGGCAAAAGTCAGCATTAATGAAAAACAGCATTAAGACAGAATGATTTTATGTGTTTATTTCCACTCCCATCCCCCAAGAGGATATTACTGAACTCGTGTTGAAATCCAAAGCCTAGAAGTGTGTTTGTGCCTTCACCACATACTGAGAAACATCCTCATCTACCTTTTCTTGCTCAGCTTCTCACCTCCAGACCCTCAGTGAGGTAGTGCTGGGCTGTGTGATGAGCAGTGTTCTGTAGGACACCGAGGTCACGTTGAATGCTGGACTGACAGCCAAAAGCCAGCATTAATGATAATTTTGGAGAATAATTATACTGGATTGGTGCCTGATACACACCCATCAGTGCCTGGCATGGCCATTGCGACTGGTACAGTTGTGACACTCGCAACTGTATTGGATCACTGCTCTCTTTTTGGGTTTGTATGACACAATCCTTTTTACTGCTGAGTTATGTTCAGTAATGATTGTGAATTGCTACGTTTGTGCCAGAAATAGCTGTAGAATGCAAGGTGAGGTTTTAAAGCTACATGAGGTTAAAAGCATGGAGAGGTGGGTTAAACAGAGATGCCTGACATACTGACTTGTGATGGAATAATTGTAGTAACTTCTTGGTAAATGCTGTGGTCATACTAAGGAAACATTAACACTAAAGGTAGGATACTATAATAGACTTGCACATTATCTTTTTTCATGTGTATTTTGGTGTTTATTTTTTGGTTGTTCATTTTTGAACGGTGGTTTTAATTATTCTGTGAAGTAATATGGAAAAATATGACCTTAAAATTTTCTTTGTGAATTAGTTGATGAGGCATGTATGAAACTAATCCTCTGCAGAGGTGTGATAACTAGGCACCTGCAGTAGCTGTGTGAACCTTAATGTGCAGTAACTCTTAGAGTGCTCTGCCTGTGTGTTCAGGTGAGTGTTAGTGCTCCCCTTTGCACAGGTGCAGCTCCATGGCAGTTTTCAGCTAGCTGTGATAGAATCACAGAATTGTTTGGATTAGAAGGGACTTTAAAGATCATCTTGTTACAACCCTCCTGCCTCGGGCAGGGCCACCTTCCACTGCAACAGGTTGCTCAGAGCCCCATCCAACCTGGCCTGGAACACTTACAGTGATGTGGCATCCACAACTTCTCTGGGCAACCTGTTTCACTGCCTCACCACCCTCACAGTGAAGAATTTCTTCATATCTAATCCAAACCCACTCTCAGTTGGAAGTCATTTACTCTTGTCCTGTCACTACGTGCTCTTATAAAAAGTCCCTCTCTGTCTTTCTCATAGGTTCCCTTCAGGTACTAGAGGACTGCAATTAGGTCATCCCAAAGCCTTCTCTTTTCCAGCCTGAACAAAACCAATTCTCTCAGTCCTTTCCTTGTAGGAGAGGTGCTCCATCCCTCTATTGGTGGCCTCCTCTGGACTCGCTCTAACAATCCTGTTATTGCAGGATTTTTTGTTTTGCCCAACAGCATGTAATGCCTCATTTGAAATCATTGCAGTCCATCATAGTAAAGACTTCTTGAGGACTCTTAAATTCAGGGATTACCCTCATGCACTATGTGTGCATGAGATACGCCTGGATTAAGAATCCTTGAGGGAGGAATGAAGAAGGAAGTTACCCAGGATACACACCACTGACTACCTGCTTGAACAGAACCACCTATCTCAAGAAAATCATGGTTCCATCTTGCTCTGCAGTAAAAGAAAAAGGATCTTCTGCCCAGACAGCTCATGGGGTTAATAATTTTCCTGTTCCTTCTAAACAAGGTTGTATTTGTAAGAGTACTGACAGGAGCCATGTTGAAAGAATCAAAGCTAGGAAAACATCATTTGGGGCTGTTTCTTTCTGGCCCATAGAAAGTGTTTAGAGACAGGCAACAGAATAATTTTTTCGATCAATTTTTTGATCAAGTTTTTGACTTCCTGTGTTCATTCTAAATCAACATATCCCTCCGGAATAGCTGTTGTTGGAAGGAGGGGCTTTGCTGTGCTCTATCATCTATCTCGTGTGTGTTTTTCTTCCCCCCTCTTAAGTGCACGATGAAGGGAATTCCTTCCTGGATAGCTGAAGGTACACCCAGCCATCACAGGAATGTGTGGTATGAGCCCCCCTCAGAACACCTCCTGAGCCTTTCTCCTTCCTGATTGGCATGGTCTCTGCTGCTCACATCTCAGCCTTCTCTTGTGCACAAATGGCTTAAACAGGGTAGAGTGAGGTAAACATGAGTTTTGTAATAAACATCAGTACTGAAGAGGAAGAATTAGCCCTACTGTGACCTGAGGAGGAGTTTTGAATAAGGCTCTATAAGATAAAAGATTTAACTTTTTAGGGGTGAAAGCCCTTTTGAAAGGTTTGAACGTGGCTTGTAATTCTGTGTTGAATGTACTACTAGGAGTTTTGAAAGCTTGCAACAAATCTTGGTGTACAAGAAGACTAATAGTTTAGGTTTGCATTTTGGATTTCATGCTGCTCATTTGATTGCCCTCTGCTAACGATTTATCGAAATTCAGTCATATGTGTTCTCTTCTTTGACTTAAGTCTCTCTCATATCTCAGAAAAACCTCAGCTCTCCCTTTCTTTCTGATACTGTTCATAGGAATTTCTTAACACAGCTAGTGGGATTTTGTTGGCTTTTTGAGAATATGCAATGAGTTAAATTGGTAAACTTGTGTGGAGAGTTTATAAATACAAATGTTTCTAGTCAATGTGTTAAGCTAGCTGTTTAGTCCCATGTAGTGTCAGGTGTTAATCTTTAATGGTGATTTCAGTCTTTTTCAATGTTGTTTGTGATGTCATGGACTACAGATACTCTTTGCCTGAAAATTCTCCTTCTAGATTTTAAATGTCTTTTTTTTTTCTTGTCAATAGACGGGAGAATAAAATACATCTTTCATTGCTAAATGTACCATAAGTTAATCTGTGCTTAGGTATAGGTTGGGATTTTTTTCATATACTGAAATTATAGATTATGGATTCCTTTGCTATCCTGGTAATAGACTCGGGATCCACTGAAAAAGCCCATTTGTGCAGCAGTGGTGTAACACTGAACTGCTGTGGCAAGCCTTTAATGACCTCAGTGTTAGTAAAACAGAAGTCCAAGGGTGGATTCACTGTAGAATGGATCCTTATGCCTTTCCTCATAACTTTTGGAGTAAATGAGGCATTGACAATGTTTTGAAGTATGTAGTACCTAGAATATAATTAAGACACTGGTGTTAAATGGCTTTTCTACGACTTGGCAAAACTGCTGATCAGAAAAATGAAACAAATGTTTCACTAACCTGCAGAAGCTGACCTACCTTGTATTTAAGAAGTGCAGACCAGTTGTACTAGCATGGCAGCTCCACTCAAGGGACTTTTCAGGATCCATGCTAGAAAAGATTACTTCATGTTTGAGACCCAATGAAGAGGCATGAACTGCTGTGACGTGTTCTTTGCAGAAATGCCATTTGTCAGACTGATGTAGTCTGATGTGCAGTAGTGGACTGTGTCTGTACAACTAATGCTGAAGTGTTCAAGACCAGGTTGGATGGGGTTCTGAGCAACCTGGTCTAAGGAAAAGTGTTCCTGTCCATGGCAGAGGTGTTGGAACGAGATGATCTTTCAGGTCCCTTCCAACCCAGGCCATTCTATGATTCTCTGCCTGTGTGTGTGTATATGCATGCAATCCACTGAAAATTTCTAAAGTGAGCTGACATTCCAGATATCTGTATAAGGATTTTCTTTTTTTCCTTCTGTTTCCATATCTGAACTGTTTGTGGAAAAGGGATACAAAGCATACCAAAAAAACTATAAAGAACTGTTAACCAATGGGTGGTAAGATGCATTGGTTTTGGATGTCCTTCTATTGAATCTGGCAGATGAAAGAATGGGAGAGCAGCAGCCACGAATCTGAAAGCACACAGCGATCTAGAAATTAATGTAAATAGAAAGATTATTGGAACAAGAAAGATTATTGTAACCAGAAAAAGTTGTCATGCATTATGTGTAAGAGATCTTCCTTTGAGCCCAGTCTACACCTGGTATTGATTTGAAAATGCCTTAGAGCTGTGTATCTGTAGCCCAATTTGGGTTTTTAGGTTTGAAATGTTTGATAGTCTCTGATGGCAGATAAAACAATATCAGGTGTGTACAGGTTTTCATATTTTATTGTTTTTTTTTGAGGGGGGGGAAAATTTCATTACATTAAAAGAGCAACTCGTGTTAAAATAAATTGTTCTTTCCTTCCTCTCTCCTTTTTCTTTTTCTCCAGGATCCCGTCTCCGCCAGGAGGACTTTCCGCCGCGGATCGTCGAGCACCCTTCAGATGTGATAGTGTCCAAAGGAGAGCCGACAACTCTGAACTGCAAAGCCGAGGGACGGCCGACTCCCACCATCGAGTGGTACAAGGATGGGGAGCGGGTGGAGACGGACAAGGACGACCCTCGCTCCCACCGCATGCTGCTGCCCAGCGGATCTTTATTTTTCTTGCGCATCGTGCACGGCCGCAGGAGTAAACCCGACGAAGGAAGTTACGTCTGCGTAGCAAGGAACTACCTTGGAGAAGCTGTGAGTCGCAACGCGTCTCTGGAAGTGGCATGTGAGTAGTTTTGTACCATCAGCACGGTGTAAGACTTCATGGTTGCTGTCATTCTGTTGCCCAGCATCCTGGGAGGTAACAAATGTGGATAAATATGACATTTTGCGAGTAGCTGCAGCTCTTAGTCAAGGCATTTTTACGTGTGTTTATTCAGTGACTGTACAGAAGAAGTGATTTATACTGAAATGAGGTTCTAGCTGGTGTATAAACATGATTGGCACAAACGTGGACAAAGGATAATTTTCCTCTGAAGAATTATCTAATTTTTAAATTATGCCTAAAGCTGGTTATACTGGAACTAATGTGGAAAAATACCTATCATTTAATCTAAGGTGCACTGTCTGTTTCTCTTTATCTCATCATCTGTTACCTCAGCAGAAGCAGACAGCTTCTTGGTGACTCATGTTCTGTACTGCTGGAAACCTCAATATATGCTCCTCTATCATGAACTTGATCCAGGCCTCATTCATTATGTCCATGGCAAGTGAAATTGTTGGCCATTTCTCATATCATCCAGAGCAGCCCTAGTCTTTATCGATTCTCTTTGTCTCAACAGAGAAGTCGACATGGCTCTTTCAGAGACCACCTGGCCTGCATGCTCTGCTTCCAGTAGAGTTAGCAGACATGTTCATTATAATTCACACAGAAAACAAGCTCATCAGACATAAAATACAATGAGTTGCACATAGTTTTTTGCTGCTTAGTTATATGGGTTGAATAAACACCGATCTTTTTATTCAGAATGTGTGTCTTCACATAGAGGTGTATTTTAGTAGATTTATGAATGCTCTCCTCTTGCTGGACTTACTTTTTTTCCTCCCACAGCTCTTCATCTGACAGTAGTTTCACTAAGATGTGTTTGAAGCAGGGCTTTAGCACAAACTTGTTTTGCTTAGTTGATAAAGAATGGATTTAAGTACACACTAGACAGTATGTTTTTTAAAGGGGGGAAGTACAGGAAAGAAATCTTTATTCCTGATGCCATCTGCAGACTTTTATAGCTAATGTGGTTTGATCTTGAGGCTTCAGTTTTCTCAGAAATTGCAGAAAATGCCATTTTTAAAATATTTAAATAGTGGAATAAGACAAGTAGAACAGACTTTTACACTGCTTTTCACCTGTTGTAGCCTAGATTCAGAACTGTGTCAAAAAATGAAAACAGTTTTGGCACACCATCAAAGCACAAGTAAATGTGCCAATTACAGGCATCACAGAAAGTTACTCAGTTGTGTAGGTATTTAGGAACTGAGGAGAAGACCAGTTTAAGGAAGGCTGAAATCTGGGTGAGTATGACTAGATAAAATTACTGGATTATTTGTGACTTTGTGCATGAGTTTTAACTGTCTGTTGAGAAATCCTAGGAGAGAGGCATAAACACTTGAAATCTTTATTGTAATCCTGTTGAGATTCAGAAATCTCCAGCTGAAGTTCAGAGGATTGTTCCAGTTGTACTTTGAGTCATCAAATTAAAGCGGCCGATTATTTTGAAATTTAAATGTGCTCTGTATCCTGTCAGTTTTCACTGATCCCTATTTCACTGCCTGCTGAGAGGCTCTTGTTACAACATCCGTGCTCTCTGGAGTTTGTCTAACAACTGTAGCTGGTGGCAGGTCATGCATGAACTGTGTGGGAGATAGGAGAAAACTTTAAATATAATAAAGCTGTGCTTCATTGTCAGGTATTTTAGGGCAGGATCAACATGAACGTGAAACCTGAGATGTGAAACCGTAGCTGAGGTTTTTGCAGTAGCAACGTTATTATTTTACTGTTTTCATGGGTTTGAGATTTAGCTGACTGACCCCCCAATTAAACGGTTTAGCAAGCTAAAGTAGGCTCTCCTGTTTCACTTCAGCAGTGCTTTATCTTTCCTTGGGACATACTGTAGCTGTGATTACAGGAGAGTCTTCATCAAAGGAGAAAAATGTAAATAATATATACATTGCTTGTTCACTTCATTTTAGAGATTCTGCTGTGGTTTTTGCTCACTGGCTTTAAAGCACGTGGCAGTACTTGGCATGTATCGAAGGTGTCCTTTGGAGGATGACAGCAAAACCACCTCTTTTCCCTTGGTTTTGAGATGCTTTGTAATATGATTTTGGTTCTAAATCAGGTTTTCAACTGACTTTCAGAGAAGAGTCATTTTAAAGCTCTTATTTGTTTTTCTCATGTCAGCATTTCTGGGCTGAAAAGGATGGGCAAGTCTGCAGCGGCCCATTTGCACGCTCGGGGAATGAGTTGCTGCTGACAGGCTGTTGTCAGCAGAGAGTCCCCATTCACCTGTTCTCAGCTGCTGCTGGAAACTGTTGAGTTGCCTGGATCCTGCAGCCCAGTCCATGGGAGGATGGCTGCCTGTGATGGCTCTCACTTGTGCTGTCTGTCATGGTGTTGAAAACTGTGCTTTCCACACTAGGCCAAGCTGTTTTCATCACCAGGAAAAAAAAAGACGGTTGTCCTTTGCTGACAACAGGGTTCTGGATTATTATCTGACTGTAGGTGGCCTGAAATTGTGCCATTAGAGACAAACTGCTGCTTTTTACAGGTTTAAAATACTCGACTCTGCTGTTTTAGAGAGAGAATCTGTAATTGTTTTACTTTGTTTAATAAATTGTCAGTTGCCAATAACAACTTTTGAATGATTTATGAAGAAATATTTATTGGGTTTATGTATGTGTTAGATGTGTTCGTGCCCATGCATTAAGATGACAAACGGTGTTATTGTGCTTAATTTCCTTCTATTTCCTTGTTTTTTTACCCCCTGCATGACACCAGCCACTAAAGCAGTGAGACTGAAAGTCTTCTGATGTATCCATACTTACATGTAATCCAGAAGTGACATTCAGCTGGGACACACAGTGATTCAGACCAGAGTGTGGCCCATGTTGAACGCAATAATTTTGCCCAGTGGTTTTTTTGGAGTGAGTTTTTGCAAGTTGCTGGAATCCCTGAGCTCTTTTTGACTGAGTAGCAGTTAACACCTTTCCAAACACGATGAATTTAGGTACCAGCCTATCCAAGGCATGGCATAGGCTTTTAAATCCCTGTCTGTTCAGAGCATGTTCATGCAGTCCAGGGCAGATACCTTTGTGCTGATATATATCCTCAGAAGAACTTGTCCGTGCCAGTGAAACTGAAAAGAATTGTGATCTGGAAAGTTACTTAAAAAGCTTTATTAATATACAGATTGTGCTTTTAGAATTTTTTTTGCCTTCAATTTGGGAAATCCTTGTTCCATAAGACATTTAAGAAGAAATAGTTGGTATTTAGAAGAAAAAGTTGGTATTTGAAGACACAGTTTAGCATTGATATGACTTATTCTATGCAATTCTTTGATATGACTTATTCTATTTAATTCTTTCAATGCATTAATTCATGGTGTGCTTTGAGCAGATTACTTTTTCAGTAGGAGCCTCCTCAAAAGGGAAAAACATAATGCTAATGCCAGCAGCAAACTTAGTCTTCTGATGTGCATGTGGCAAATTCTCATGTAGTGTTTCTGTTTTATGGCTAAATCATTAAAAATAAATGTTCTAATTATAAAGCATCTACGAATAATTGTATTCAGAAGAGTAAAACATCTTTCTTTTTTTTTTGTCTATTAGCGTTATTTAACTGAAATTGAAAAGGGTTATTATTCCTAATAATTCCCAAACATTATTAGGAATATGTTGATGTCCAGGTAGGTTTTCAGAAAGGGAAGTAGACTTGAGATAGCTTAATCTTCCACAAAACAGCTTTCGTATTTGAATGCCAGAAGTTTTAAAATGAAAGCAGAGGTTTTCACAATGTACGAACTGACACAGCTGAACCTCCATGGTGGAGCTTTCCAGTGGGAATATCAGGAAACACATTCCCAGGAGTTACAGTGGGTAGGGTTTCAGTTGCCAGTGCCGGGGCACCACGAGTGACTCAGGGCCAGCTCTGCTCCAGGCTGAGTCAGCGGCGGCCCCCGGGGAGAGCAGCTGGAGCCCCAGGTGTGAAATATGTGACAGCAGCTTGATCTATCGACCACTGTTAGAGGGGGCTCTGGCCTAAATGAAAATTCATGAAAAATTGATGAAGTCCCCAGATTATTTTTTTCCCTTTTCCTTTTGCAGCGCTGTGCCAGTGCAGCGAGGAGAGATTAAATGAGGTGTTGAACGCTTTAGTGGCAAGGAGGTTGTGGTTCAGAGGTCAGTGGGGGAGGGGGAGAAGACACATTTTCTACCTTACTTCCCTTTAAAAGAAAACATAAGGCTTTTCAGATTAGCTGGGATTTGCTGCCATTTCAATATACTAATAAAACTCAGGAATATTCACAAATAGGATTCTTTTCTGCATGGTTTGGCAGAGGCGAGGAGTGTGTGGGTTGGTGTGCAGAAAGCAGTGGAAGGCTCTGAGTCATAATTCAATTGGAGAACCAGAAATAGATTGAATTTTGTAATGGCAGTATAAATTTGGGCTTCCATCTTTCTGAGCCTGTGCTTGAACTGAAGTCATTTGGAGAAAGAAGAGGTCTTGCATTATTTATATGCCAAAGATTGCTTGAATAGCAGGCTTTGGAACACTCTCCAAACATAATGATCCTGCTTATGTTAGATTCAGAACTGAATTATGTTTTTATCTGTAACAAGAGAGGTTATAGTAGAACACAGAGTTTAGTGTGAAGAGTCATAGGTGTATTGCAAAGCAAGCATAAGCCAGATCTTAAACATGGGAGGCAGTAATTTTGCAAATAAACAAGATATGTTTTAATGTTCAGTGAATGAAGGCTGAGAGGTATAAAATATATGCTGTGCAATCACATCTGTATCATAATGCTAATGACTATTTGCTGCAGCATGTGCAAAAGGCTGCAGTATGTTCATAAGAATGGAGTTATTAATTTATTTGAGATATTCAGTGGAAAAAGAGCACAGTGTATGTGGCTAAAATGGGTGGACGATTTTTTTTCTGTTCAATGTATGACTTATATAGTAAAATTGTTATTAATTTTTTTACTGGTAATTTCAAAGTCTGATTTG